TTATCAACGCTACACAATTTTGTAACCCCTTTGCAAAGGCGAAAGCCATAGCAAATAAATGTTGATTCATTAATTGAATATTTTCTCTTAAAAAAATATTAGATAAATGACGGGTACGATTCTGTTGTTAGAGGAATAGTATCATTTACAGGGACAAGCAACCACTAATTTGAGACGAGGACATATATTGTAAATTAAATAAATTAAAAATATCATAAACAAATGCTGCTTGTTATTCTGACAATGTCACAATAAATAAATTCTCGTTATAATGTTTTTATTTATTTTTATAACAGACAGTAATTTTCCAGAAAATAATAGCAACGGCCAGGAGTTAAAAATGAATCTTCCGTCTATGTCCTTTTTACCAGTTTTGTGGAACATTCTATTTTCTCAACGTGACAAGCGATACCACAATTCATTCATCGGGATATGTATGTCAATAAAATTTTATTGGGCAATTTGACTGTTTATAAATATATAAATATTTTTCTATCTCTCCAGTTACATTAAATCTATTTACTGGACTCCCTATGCTTTTTCCAAACGAGAAAGTTGCCTGTGTAAACATATTTGGATATAAATTAATTTTTTTCTTACATCCGGAATCTGCAATGGTAATCAAACATATCTAGTTATGTAATATATTCATTACGAATGTAAATATACAGTATTACGTTTTGTAGGAAGTGTTAAGAAGCAACAGTTTAATCAATAAGGATTCTACGTATGATTTCTTCAAGCCACTTCTCGGAGACAACAGTCTTCTGTACAGGTAATACATTATTTGATATTTAGTTCAAATATCGTTGTTTACAATTTTCTGAATTTAATTAAATAAAGTTCTGGCGATAATTGGAGAAAAAGAAGAAAATATTTAGCTCCACTTTTTCATCTTTGGAATTTGAAAGATGATCAAGATGTATTTACGGAGCATTTAAACGTCTTAGTGGAAAAACTCAAACAATTGCAAGAGAATGAAATATTCGATATTCTGGAATGGATGAAATATTGCACTCTCGATATAATTGCAGGTATTACTCTCTAATGTGAAATATATACCTAAGAATTATATATAACAACTTGGTAATACGTAAACATTAAATAAAATATTTATTTTGCATACTTATTGCTCATTACGTCTAAAAAGTATAAAATTACAGTAGAGCGTCGTTTATCCGAAAGCTGGTTATCCGAAACGTCTGTTATCCGAAAGCATTCCAGTCGGCAAATTTAAATTTTCGCTAGTGCTGTGGCGCTGCAATCTTCGGCTATTCCTTGGGTTATTCAAATATTTTACGTTTTTGATACTAAATTAACATCTGAAGTATAATTTTTTATTGTTTTTATCAATAAATTTATTTTGTTTGTACAAAATAAAAAAATAATTTTTAACGATACAATAGTCTTCGTTAGGCTTAACATCGACGAAAATTCAACGCGAAGCGACACCGACCCGCA